TTACCATTTTGATTGATATTTATTTCCCCTGGTTTTCAGCTTTTGAAAGGTAGCAGAATTTGAAGTGAATACAAGTCAAAGAGATATAAAAGTCAAGCGAAATAGAAGTTGTGCAGCAATGCCTCCCCTGTTGTTAGTGAAGGAGAGAAATAAGTTGGGTTTTGTTCATTTTGCAGAGTCCTTTCTTCCTCTGTATTTCTTTGCAAATCCCTCATTTCATGTATCAGCTTTTGCGTTTCTTCCTCTAGATCATTAAAATTTTTCTTTCAGTCTGAAAGCTCATCTCTTGTGAGATGAAGGTCCCTTTCCGCTCCCTCAATAGACACTAGTTCACTGTATAGAATGCTTAAAGTGAGATATTTTGACTAAACCTGTTCCCTTTTTCTTCCTTTGGTTTGCCCATATTTGCTTGCCACAACTCTTGCTTCTCTTTCTAGCTTGCCTTGGATAGGGTAGCCTGTCTCTCAACTAACTCTAAACCATGATCTGGAAACCGTGGCATTAAGAAATTCAATATAATCATATTCATCCTGAACATTTTCAGGCCATATATTTAGTAATAGGTATGATATATTTACTGCCTGTTTAATATATGATAAAGCTGGATCTGGGACAAAGATTTTCCATTCATAGCTTCTCTGCATGTACCTTGAAATTACATCTGACATTTTTGTGATGTATTTTGGGTTCCTTATATTTTATGTGAAGGAAATCTGCATTTCTGAAATCAAATTTACAAGTGTGTAAATCTAGGCTTTCTATAACAAGTCCCAGTTCCTCGATGTATTAGAACGCACGTGTCTGATGAACGGTTCATTCAAACACGACCGAATTGGCCGCCTATCTATACAGCCGAATAAGCCAGGTTACAAAGTTTGTTTTGGGAGAAAGAAAATGGAAGCCCGTCGTAAAGAAATTTTGCGCAAGACCACGGTGGTTTCTCGAACTCCACACACACTCACATCAGTCCATTTGCAGACGTATTTACAGGATAAAATTTGCCTTTTTTAAGTTCCCTTGGAACTTATTTCCTACATGGGCGGAAGCCGCGAAATACACTAAAAGAATCTGCAACAACAGGAGAATGTTATGCGAGGTCGGGGAACCACTTTTTGTCATAAGACGCCTAACCTTACGACCTTTGATTGAGGATATCTCAGACAAATCTCAGACACTTGAAGGAGTTACACTTGAGCAAAAAACACCCTATTTGATATGCATTTGGACCTTACAAGGAAGTCTCTTTGATTATCTATTTATATTTTCGAATTTGTCAGATGTTCTGAAAAAAAGTGAGAGGTCGGGGAAACATGTGCAGCATCTCGAGGTATTTTTATTTTTCAATTTAGTTCATTGTGCCATACATGTTATTGTAACGCTCCAGCCATTTTTAAATACTCCGTTCCCAAGCAGCAAACCACCACCGCCGCCATTTTGTCCGTCATTTCTGGCAATGAATCCAAGTAATGAGGAGGAGTCAAAAATACCTTCTGACAATACAAATGCGCAATCAATGGCAAGTTGTTAGCAAGGAAAAGAAAAAGATTTAAAAAACAAAAACAAAGGAACAATGAAGATGGGACACAGTCCGTTGCAAAGGTCTCTGATAATTCCATTACTGTTGCCGCCAAAAATTCGATTGATTACAAATTCGTACTCTTCTTTTGTCACAGTTCATTCATGCCTTTTGTTCTGTGCGCATAACTTTCATCAATATTCTGTTACTCTTTCCTGCATAATTGCCTTTTGTTTATGTCCCTTGTATTAGTCTTTACCGCGAATTTTATTCATTCGGATCAACCGTTTAACTATTCGAACCGTCTAACTGCTTATGCCGTCTCTGTCGATCGCTTTACGCCGCTTTACGTTGCTTTCCGTCTCTTTACATCGTCTTTAATTTGGCAGTTGACCCACATCTCGTGCGACGTTTGTAAGTGTCTTTTGTTTTCCTTTATTTTTGCTTTCTTGTTTGTTTATTTCTTTACCTTGAATTGTGACAACTATAACTTGTAATCCATTTCTTGCAACCGGTTACGTATTTATTTCTGAACTTCGTTTCGTTTAGCCATTTTGGAAGTGAAGTTGGACATGTAACGAGCATTTTTGGCTACAACACTGATGTACAACCCTATCAATTGGAGCTTCCTTAACAAAGACAAATATATGTTGTAAAAAGCTAGAAAAAGCCGTTGGCCATCGAGCAGTGGTCAAGTTATTCTGTAGGGCCACCTCAAAAGCTATGAAGGCCAACCTCAAAGCTAGCCTGAAGCATTCGCCGGACCAATTCGTTCTCTATGTCGGCTCCAATAACCTTAAATATAAAAAGAGTTGCAAGATGCTGAATCGATCATAGACAAATCGAAAATTCATCCGACTCCACCTCCGCCATATCGAGGCTTACTTCCACAAGGGATGAATTCAATAGAGCAGTGAAAGATGCGAATAAACATCTAAAGAGCTACTGCCGTCAGAATGGATGGAACCTAATCCAGCATCTAATGATCACAGAAATTGGCCTAATCAAGGGAGGACTGCATCTTAGTTATAAAGGTAATCAAAACATTTTTAACAACTTTAACGCGCTCTCCGCAGATTTCCTGCGTGCTCAGTGTATTAAATCCAACAGTGAATTCCGTATACTGAATGAAAGTGGTAGAGAGGGTCCAACATAGGTTTGGCAGGATGCAGGATGGGGCCTAAAATCGAGGCGGGATGTGGAATACGAGATACTTTAAAGGCGAGATGCGGGATGAAGATAGGAAGGCGAGACCGGGACATACTCCGATTTGAATGCGGGATAGGGGTTGGGACGGGTATAGGCGAGCTCATAAAAAGTATTTCTTTGCTTTAGAAACGGGCTTAATTAATGCTCCCGTGTAAATTGAGGTTGACATGCCTAAATGATTCAGTAGTACGTCCAGTTTTCTCTGTATTGGCTACAAATGTTTACACGAAACACCATGGTATATTCAGTTTTCTCGCCCTCGTAATTTTCTCTCACGAGTATGTCTGAGTGATCATTTGTTTCTGTACGATATTATCGGTTTTTTTGAGGATTTCTCTCAGCAATGGTTGCTGCTGTACTAAATGCCACTTGCTCATAAGGATTTTTTGCAAGGTTTGGAGATTTGGAACTGTTGGATAGTATTGTCGGTCAGTGCAGGAAAGGGCTTGAACTTTATTACAAATGATGATTGACCCATCCTAATATATTGCCTACTACCACGCAGCGCCTACTACTAAACGTACTTATTCTACATAGGAAGTAGAACGTCTGGGAACAGGCCCTGTAATCAGCATTATTTATAACAGAAATAATAATAATAATAATAATACTAATAATGATAATTACAAAATTTATGTAGCGCCATTTCCATTTAGCCCAATAGCGCTTTACAATAAGTAAAGAAATAGAAAACTAAATCTAACCTGCTTACGATGAACAAATATGTGACTACATGATTTAAGAATATCTCATAAAGCGCTATTAAAAACATATGAACCTCTTGCGAGGGCCATATCTATTGCTCAGAAAAATAAAATAACATAAAATGCACAAAAAATGGTCTATTCAGGAAAACTCGCTAGGCACTAAGGTGGATAATTTCTAATTTTAAATACAGCTATTATCTATACCTTTTAGCAAGTTAAAAGTGGGGGCATATAAATCTCCTACGAAACAGTTACGCTTAGTCTTTCGAGTCCCAATGAAGCCCAAAATCCTTGAAATTACAAGGTTTCAATGATGCGAGAGGTCTGAGAATGAATTTTACATACTGGCTTGGCCTCTTGATCGAAATCTACATTAAGGTGTCAGGTTGAACAGCTGTTTTGTGGTAATGAGGTTAGCATCGTAGCAATCGTAATGTAGGCAGAATCTTTTTGTTAAGTCTCTAGGTTTTTTTACAAAAGAAAAGTTGAAGCTCTTAACTCGGAGAATGGGCTATTTTTGGTGGAAAAATCAGCATCTTTCCAAAGTGCCGGAGGGTTGTTCACGTCTCTGATCTTGGAAATCTTGTACTGCGCCGGTTGACTCTTGACTTGGGAAGCATTTTCAAGTAAAGATTTCATGCCGTTAGGGTTTTAGCTGGTGATGGGAAGGGTCATAATGAAGCGGGGACGGCCTCACGAGGATGAAGACCTCGAAGAAAAATGAATATCGAGTGAGTTCCCTCTAGTTTACAGTGTTTGTGGCCGAAGGCGAAGTCTGGGGAACATACGGACACTTGGTGAGCCAAACGAGGCGAGTCATCTAATATTTGATTTATCTTAAATTTATTCGTACAAACATTCTAATTCTTATGATAAAGCACAAGAGCTTATGTGTTGTTTCAACCTGCCCCCCTCCTGCCCGGTACGACTCATGTGCATTTGACTGTCGTCCGTGCCAAGGGAGTAAGGAATTAAAAAACCTTACCCTCCCAGGGTGGTTAATTTAAAGCGGAGGTGTCAAGTGTTTCTATAGGGAATACAAGCGTCTTATTTTTAAGGTCAAGGAGTTGAAAGGTATTAAGTTCGCTCTTGTGAAAGAATTAAACATTCTTAAAGATGAGCAAGGAACGTGTTGCCATGATCTTAATAGTTATCACTGGCTTTACAGAAGTTTAAAGACGACATTTAATAGCGGTGATACAAGTAGATTTGCTCTCACACTGCAGTGATGCACTCTGTATGAGAGTCATCTGCATTGCTATGAAAGGTGACCATTTTGATGTAAGGCCATACACGGTACCTTATTTTTTCGTCACCAATTCAACAAGTTTTAAAGTTTTTTAAAATAGTCAAATCAATTGCTTCTTAATGAGTAGAAAGTCGTGTTCCCTGATCTTGCCTTCTACAAAACAAATAGGTCCACACCGCTTTCGTGTGTCTTGGACAATAATAATAATAATAATGATAATTAACATTTCTAGAGCACCAAAATTATAAAAATATTCTAAAGCACCTTACAAAATATTCTATAAAAATATTAAAGGAATTAAACGATAAAATATGAAAAATATGAAAGATATTAAAATGCTAAAACTATTAAAAATGTTAAAACAACTTAAAAATGGCTACACTGACTGTTTTGAATTTCAAGCAGCAGTTTGTTCAACAGAAGTGGCCTAGAACGGGCAAAGGTGCAATCACCAAAGGTCTTGAAATTAGTTCTTGGGATCTTAAGAAGGCCAGGAACATAGGTGATGACCAGAAATGGAGTGTAAGGTCTTGAAATTAGTTCTTCGGATCTTAAGAAGGCCAGGAACGTAGGTGATGACCAGAAATGGAGTGTGGCTGCAGATATTCTGCAAACAAGAATCAAAAATGACTGCTCAAGTATGTGCTTCAGTTGACATCTTATAGATGAAACTGCCTCTTCTATTGCTGAAACTTTCATTGTCACAGGTAAATCAGTGCTTTAAAGACTGTGGTATAAGAAATTGGCAACAAACGAAAAATTGTGTGTAATTAAGATTACAAACACCTCAAGCTGGAAAGACAAACTTTTGAGTGAATGATCTTTCAAGGTCACAACATGCAATATTCCAAAGACAACAAATGCTCTGTGAACATAGAGTCATAGTATCCCTGGATAGCCTACCTCAAATTTTACTTGAATCAATGTCTGGAATTTTTATCTTCAAGATAAATTTATGGCATTTTCCCTCTCTTTCTTTGCCCTTTTGGAAGACTTAAACAAGCTTTTTTGCCCAGCCTTTCAGCATTTTCTGTTGTGGCCAGAACCACAGCTACTTAATACCACCTTGAATTTGGCACTTTGATCTTGAAAATTCCGGTGGAATTATTCAATTATTGATTTCAAGGCTGAGGCATGTGTGTCGCTGATGGCATCTCTGTGATTGGTTAAGGTATAAAGCTACTTCCGGTCTGAGGGGGGCAAAAGTGTGGACTTATCTTTGTTGTTGGATTAACTTTGGTTGAATTCTTAGCTGGATAAGTATTTGATAAATTTAGTGGATTTATCAGGCACAAAATATGCACAAAATATCACATCGCAGCTAGTAAGCTGAATTGCAGAAAATTTAAAGTAATTTTGGAAAAAATTTAACATTATGCATGGTCCTTAAAAACTACTATACATGGTAAAATTTGCATTATAAAATCTATGTTTATTAGTATCAAATTTACTAATTAAGACTTAGTTTATGTAAAACTGATATTTACTCATTGAAAATCGTTTATGACTAGTTAAAACTAGGAATTGTCTTTGCCATACACAGATGGTATAAAAGAACATTAATTTTGTATCTGTCAATTCTTGTGAGCAGTCTTTGGAAGGTTTGAGTTTTCCATGTTCTGTACTTTGGTTGGGGCTTGAGTGGTAGCTTTAACCTTGGCATTTAAAGCAGACACATGAAGGCTCTCCCAAAGGGGAATGTAAAGAATAAAAAGGATCACTAGGCAAAGATATGTAAGAACTTGTAAGTGTGGCAGAAGGGATTGCCACTTTCAGATGAGTTTATGGTATTAACTAAATGTCTTCATGATCTACCATTTGCTCCTTAATAACCTCAAGTCTCCAAGTAGGGAGATTGGGTGGGTGCATTAATTTTTCATCTGCATATTTGGCCTGAATTAGAATTGCTTTGCTTGTTGGTTAACTTGAACCTTCTTTGCCTTTGTGTCTTTCTAGTCTCCCAGAGTAACCATGCAGTAGTTTATTTCCTCTCCTAGAAGTCTATTCTGAGTCAACTTGCAATTAATGATTATAAAAGCTAATTATAATAGTTATTAGGAAAGTACAGACTAAATTACGGATAAAATTATTTAGAATTACAACATGCTTTAAAATCCACAAGTGTACAAACTAGTGAAAATTGAAATGTTTGAGTGAAAATATGGTGGTCTTTGATGATATCTTTGGCAGCTAACAGTTCCATGATAAAATTGTAATACTGCAGAAACCACAGCACAGGGAATCACGTTCACATCATGACATTTATGCTTTGGGCACTGAACCCAAACCAGAGAATTGATGCATTCATTTCAGTTCTGTGTAACTTAACATTACAAGGGTGGGGTGTAACAATTCCACAAAAACCTGAGGCAAGCAGTCATCCCTTTATCGGTCAACGTTCTTGTTGCCTGTCAAACCAGGAGTTCTTGTCAGGGGGACAAAATCTGTGTTTCTTTGCTGAATCTCCAGCTTGGATAGAGTGGTGTAAGATGGCTATCAAGTTCTTTTTCATGGTGTAAACAGCTACATTTATCTCACTATCGGATGGATTTGAGGTTGACAGAACGTTATGTGTAATGGTTAGACCATGGTATCTCTGAATCTTCTTTACTTGTTTGTCTGAGGTGGCCACGCCCTCCAACTGGCTTTTTCATGTGAAAAACACTTGCCTCAAGGAAATTGTAGGGCATTAAATATACAGAACAAGCAGAAAGCAAAAAATTATTGATTGAATTACTAAAGTAATTTATAGTAGAGCAAACATTGCCAAACAATAAATCAACAACTATGTACCTACTGTCTGATACACACAGTCAAACAGAAACTGTACAACAAAATTGATACATTTTTCAGAGAACTGTTCAGAACAATTGAAGTTGACCACATGTTAAATAATAGAGATAGTTGAGGAAAACGGGCTTAGATATACTAGCTTATATCCCTTTCTTTGAAAATCCCTTTCTTCATCTGAGCTTTATGATCAATATTCTGATAAAGCCAGGTTGAATCTAGACTCACTGATTGGTCGATCAATGTCAGATTCAAAGAAAGATGACCTTATTGATGTATCAGGTGTTGTATAATCATAGTAATAATGATAATAATAGTAATGATAATTGTTATTTGTACTAATTGACCAAAAGAACCTACTGAAGTTGCTAATACATATGTAAATTACATTATAAGTTTAATATTTGTTAATACAGGAACAAATCTGAGGTGTTTGAAAGCTAAAAGGAATGACTAAATGAAAATGTCTTAACTTTACTCTTAAGGAAACTTAAGCATGCTACAGTTCTTATTTGGTCTGGTAAATTGTTCCAGAGTGAGGGAGCAATGACTGAAAAAGTGCAATTTTCATAGGAGTCAAGATTATCCTCAGAGACCTAACAATTCCTTGTTGGTGGGGTGGAGTGGAGTGTCCAAGGCATGTTATTAATTAAGGAGTCTGCATCAACAACTTTATTCACAGGGGGTGTTTCTCTAGTTTGCCTTTCTTTTCTTTCTATAATGGTTTAGGACTTTTTACTGGTCATCTCAGAGGACAATCACTACCTCAAGAGAAAAGTCTCGGCAAGTTAGTTGTCAGGTTGATTGTAGCTTGCTAGAAATCTATCTCATGAGCTCCCTTTCAAGACATGTGCCTCACGTAAAACTATACATAGATATACATATAGGAAGTCTGTGATCTGATTTTTCTGTTGTACAGTGCTTGATACGTAGAAGTAGAGCGCAATATGTATGAGATAGGGGAAAAAACAGAGACTATACTTTCATCCCTACAAGCCTGTTTTGTGATTACTCACTCATCAGAGGATTTTATTGTGAAGAATATTCATAACCATCATTTATATAATTTACAAACTTGCATAAAGGCGTGGCGGGAAATTTCAATGCTTTGTTCAATTGTTACACAGTAATTGTTTCTGTGGTGGCTTGAGGACACGTGTTCATTACGTTTATTGAGTGATGATAATTCAGGTTGGTGGATGATAAGTAATTTTTCTTTGAGGCAGAGGTTGCATCTTTTGCTTGCGTTGTTGTAGGGTGATCTTGATGAAAGGATGTGCCATAAAATAAAGTGGTCAATGTTATTTTCTTTAAGGGTCCAGATATGTTTGCTGAGTTCAGTAGAGTTTCTGTGTTTTGTGTGTTGGAAGGATGTGGTGTGGTTTCTGTATCTAGTCTTGAAGTCGTTTTCTGTAAGTCCGATGTACGTCTCAGTGGTGCTGTTGTCCTTACGTGTGACGGTGGCTCGGTAGATTAGTGATAACTGGAGGCAGTTTCCGTTAAGTGGGCGTGTGTTCTTCTGTTGGCAGCTGCAAGTTTTGGTGTCTTTTGTGTTGGTGTTATTTGCGGTGTCATTGAAGGGTTTGGATTAATTTAAAATGCGTTTGTTGTGGTTGTCGATGGTCTGCTTAGTGTTATTCATGCAGCTGTAGCAGATTTTGATTTTGTTACGATTAAAGATTCTTTTAAGTTTGTGGTCTTTTGGGAAGTGCTTGTCTTCTATGGCAAGGAATCTGTGTCTGATATTGGTGCTGACATTTTTGCTGAATTGGGGGTTGTACCAGAGTATGTTGTTCTGTTGACTGTCTTTTCGTTTGTTAGTTATGGGTGGTTCATAATGTAGAGTGGACTGGTATCCGCATTTGTCGAGTGCTTTTTGATATGGAGCCGCTCCTCCATATCAAAAAGCACTTGATGAATGCTTTTTGATATGGAGGGGCGGCTCCATATCAATAAGCACTCGAAGAATGCAGATACTGGTACACTCTACACTACGAACCACCCACAACAAAAAAGCTGACAACGGAACAACATACTCTGGTACACCCCCCATTCAGCAAAATTGTCAGCACCAATATTGGACACCAATTCTTTGCCCTAGTAGACAAGCATTTCCTGAAAGACCACAAACTCAGAAGAATCTTTAATCATAACAAATCAAAATCAGTTACAGCTGCATGAATAACACTTAACAGATCATCGACAACCACAACAAATGCATTGTAAATTCATCCAAACACATCAATAACACCATAGATAACACCAACACAAAAGACAGCAAAACTTGCAGCTGCCGACAGAAGATCACATGTCCACTTAACGGAAACTGCCTCCAGTCATCACCAATCTACCAAGCCACTGTCGCACGTGAGGACAACACCACCACTGAGACATACATCAGACTTACAGAAAACGACTTCAAGACTAGATACAGAAACCACACCGCATCGTTCTAACACACAAAACACAGAAACTCTACTGAACTCAGCAAACATATCTGGACCCTTCAAGAAAATAACATTGACCACTTTATTTCATGGCGCATCCTTTCATGAAGATCACCCTACAACAGCGCAAGCAAAAGATGCAACCTCTGCCTCAAAGAAAAATTACTTATCATCCACCCACCTGTCTACTGTGTAACAATTGAACAGAGAATTGAAATTTACCATGACGCCTATTTGCAGATTTGAATAATAGGCGTGGATATGCATATTATGAATATATTCCTTGTGGTTTACTTTGGCATTTATGGGAATAACAGAAATTCAGGGGATGAAAAGATGGCAAAAAAAGGAGATTATACACTAACATCTGGGCTTCATAACACATTTTAGAGGTGACCTAAATAGTTAAGGCAAAGTATGCCTCCTTAAAGAAAATGTTTGAATTTGGAAGCAAAATGTTTATTATATGAGGGCTCAAGGCTGTTCATAGCATTATGCAACTGTGTGGCATTGCATACTAGCAGCTGTTTCTTAAAATAGGAGAAACCTTGTCCCTGCAGGGCTGGGGAGATGTGTTGAACTTCTTAGTGTTTGTCAGCATGGCAAGTTTTTGTGCATGGTGCTACTCATGTATGTCATCCATGTACAATTATATCATTACCCATTACAAATAAGAAAGTAAAAAATTGATAAAAGCTAAAATTATGGTAGAAAAAATCAAAATACAGTCTGGAATATCTATACAAAGACAAGTCTAACCCCTTGGTATGACTTTATCTTCATTGCAAACATGTAAATATCAAGATATCAAGACCAATAAAAAGAATTCTTTGGTCAAATAAAAATAGTTCAAAGTATCGATTTAAAATCTATTTACATAGCCCTGACAGTGTTTTTCTCTAGGCATAGGTGTCTTATTTTCATTAGATTTGTTTATCAGTACTACAACTGTGTCATTCTATTAAATCTCCAAGGGGCATATGCATTACTGACAATGTATGGTGCACAGCATCTAGTTCTCTTTGCTCACTTTTACAAAGTTTTTTTCACTTGTTTACTTTGATTTACTGACCTTCATAGATTGCTGTCTAAATTGCATATGAAGCAAATTTTTGTTTCCTTTTTCTGGCTGGTAGTTGTATTTAAGGTTTGAAATTATTGGTCTCAGTTCCTGGTGACTCAGTGACCATTTTTTACGCATAAAATGTAATACTTTATACACTGTTGTACATTACAAATTTAAAATACAAAATACTTAGAACACTGAGGAATAGTTCAAATGAAGAGCCAGGAGGCTAAATAGCCGCTAAGTTTGGATTAGGATTTTGCGACTGGGCAATATTTATTGGTCAGCATATGGGGTACCATGCTCAGAAAAGCAGGCTTTGTTTTTGATTAAAACTTTTCCATTTCTGCTTGGGTGGGCACTGGCACTTCTGGTTTCAGAGTGGGACTTTCAGTGATGACTTCGATGTTCCCTTATTGAGATTCTCTATTGTTTTGTCAAGGTCAGTTTTTATTTTCTTTGCAATTGTTTGTTCTCCAGAGTTATTGCACACTCAAGGTTTACATAAATTTTTTGGGAGCATATCTGGTGTTGTATCCATGAATACTGCTTGCATATTGAAAATGATTTTGGAGTAGATCCACTTAAGCAGGCCTTTCTGCCATAGATGCAAAAACTTTAAAGCATTGTGTTGATACAAATTATTTACTGTTAGAATATCTAGAATGTTGAGCAGATGGAGGGTGCTATCTGTTTGTTTATGCAATGTACCAATAACAGTGTGGCAAAACTTCCTCATGTTTGTTCTAAAGTGATCGATCAATAATTGCCAAGAAGATGCACATGTAAAATGCATCTTCTGCTCTTCTTTGTCAACCAGTGTTTAGTTGGCAGTGTGGCTGTCACTTGGGATTGAGATTGACAGAGTATTCCATGATTAATCACAACTATTCTCTTGAGGGAAATGGTAAGTGAGTTGGCACAACTCTTGCATCTCCAGCGTCTGAACAAGTCATGTAAAATACCATCTTTCTTTTGTTGTATTGTGAACCACTAATTACCTGGGGAGTAACTGAGTTGATAAAGGATTATGTTAAGTGGGAAGACAGTATTGAAAGGAAAAAAGGCAATTTGCAAATCCTAAAAGGTTTCTCTCAAAAACTAACAGAACTACCTATAAAGGTCTTTTATAAGTGAATAGTAATTGAAATAAAATATTCTGATGGATGTGGTCTTTTGGCTGGGTTGACTGAATTTGTGAGGAAGCTGAATCCATGATTTACCACATTGGTTTACATCAGTAGCATTCTTATGAACCTTCAATAAAATTTTCCCTAAAAGAAGCTTGGAAAATTTGACTTCAGATGATTTGAGGTCATTGAAGCTATGTTTCTATGCATCATGACTGCCTAACTGCTGGAAAAATTGCCACCTCCCATGAGGGGTATATTCAGTGCCTAAGAAGCATCCTTTGGCACATGTAGATTTATTGAATTTTGGACCAAAAACCATAACTGAAATTTGAAGTTTTTCCAATAGGAGCTGGCAAAGAAGTACACATTGCTCGCACAAAATGCTTTCAAGTTGGAGTCCAATGTTTTATAAACAGTTACAAATGTAAAAACGATGATAAAAATGCCTTTGTTCATTCATTAATCTTCTCTAAGTTTGGACCATAACACTTGATGACAATTCTTTTGTTAAATTTTCCCTACATTGTGATTTTGAAGATATCTCTTCCTTGCCCATTTTTTGATGTATGGAGACCATGACTATGCATGATTGTATTAGTATATTAATAGAATCACCCTCATAAAATTGTGAAGATCCTGACATCACTATTCAAAACTGATGTAATGCTTGCCAATCAAGCAAAATATTTTCAGCTATAAGGGGTAATTTGAAATGTGCAGTAGTACATCATCGTAGAATAATGTACTTATGTTCTATGCCACTATCCAGTTTTTGTTCGACTGTGGACAGTTTGTTCTGACTGGTTTCCAAAATTGGACTTTACTTAAGTTTGCTCTTGGCTTTGTAATTGACAGGAGAATCTTAATTAAAGTAATAAAATATACAGCGCATCACAATGCTTGTTTAATCAGACTGTTGTTAGGATACCATGATATTTGCACAATAACCAACAACCAATTTTTCATGTGTCTGTGAGTGCATGGAAAAACACTTTCTGCTTTCCCCAAAGTTCATTAACATAGTGAGAAACTTAAATGTTTTACCTTTGCTTTTGCTTATTCAGTTTGCACAAGTCTTTCACCTGAGGAGATCTGTGGACTCTATACTTGTTGTGTAGCACTTGTTATACT